TACTCATTACCTGATTCATGTAACTGTAAACCCTTGGTATATCACCCTTACAATAAAAATAATAAACACATGCATAATATATACACACATACACACATGCATACATACATACATAAATGAAGAATGTTTTTGGCCAGGAGCAGGTGGCTCATGCCTGTAATCCTACTGACTCAGGAAGCTGAGATCTGAGGATAATGGCTCAAAGCCAGGCTGAACAAGAAAGCCAATGAGACTCTTATCTCCAATTAAGTACCAAACATCCTGATGTAGAGCTGTGGCTCAAGTGGTAGAGTACTAGCATTGAGCAAAAAAGCTTAGTGACATTGCCTAGGAACTGATTTCAAGCCCCAGGACTGGCACAGAAATGTTTTGGGATGACTATACACACAAACACACACAATATTTCTTATTATATTTAGATAACATAAACTAAAAGTTTGATCATTTTTCTGTTTCTTGAGAAAGATTAAAAGATTTCCCATAGAAAGTCTATATACTTTAGGTTCTTGAACCTAATGTCTCTGCTGGTGTCCAGGGAATCAGTAACTAAGTTCACTGTGTTGCCAGGATCATAAAAGCTATAGCTTCTAACAATACTGTGACCAAAAGATGTCAGTATATTGACAGCCAGTGAAGTGTGCACCATTGTAGGACTCCACTTGTCATTCAAGAGGTGTGCCAAATGCATTCATATAGAGCCAAGATAACTCTTTTTTAAGACAAAAAATTGATGTGACCAGTTTCTTTGGGGGGGTTGTTTGTTTTTTCCAAGTCTCAGATCCTATATTTAAGCATTCCTTCCATTCTCAAAGGCCAGGTTATACTGTACTCATAGTCAGTTGGGAGCAGGAAAGGAATGTTCAGGAGGAGGCAGTCTATTATTAGTGTCATCTGCAAGCTCTGAGTGACTATGTCAGGATACTTTTGGCTCTACTATAATATAGAATTATCACTAGAAATAGATAAACAGTAACATAAAACAGAATAAGGATGTATATTCACCATATATGCTCTAATGAAGAGCTGGACATTCATCCTGCTCCATTCTCTTCTGCTTGATTATGTGAATAGGAAACTGTCCTATGGAAACAATGGCATGATATTGTTTAGAAGTTGATGGGAACTTATATAAACAGGGAAACCATGCAGATAATTGTCATTCTTCTAAAGAGAAAACAGGACAGTATACATTGTCACCTGCACATTTTTTAATCCAATAGTCCTGAAGTGTACATTACTCTTTGTTTACATTGGCCAAAAACTGACAAAATAGACATTGCTAGAGATGAAGAAAAGCAACATAATCAATTAGCATTTTTAGAGGACAAGCTTTCACTCAAAAATGGAACAAAATTGGTGTTTGTAACTTTTCTGTATACGTAGGAAAAGAGGCACAGAGATGAGAGAAACACACAAAAAGAGAGAAACATACACACATTAGATAAAGGAGAAAGAAAGAGAGAGAGAGAGAGAGAGAAAGAAAGAAAGAAAGAAAGAAAGAAAGAAAGAAAGAAAGAAAGAAAGAAAGAAAGAAAGAAAGAAAGAAAGAAAGAAAGAAAGAAAGAAAGGAGGCAGAGAGAGAAAGAAAGAGAAAGAGAAAGGGAAAGAAAGAACGAAGAAAGAAAGAAAAAAAAGGGAGAGAAAGCAAGGGATAAAAGGAGATAGAGAAAGAGAAAGGGAGGGAGAAAAAGAGATACAGAGAGGGAGGGAGGGAGGGAGGGAGAAAGAAACAAAGAAAAAGGGAGATAAAAGAAAGGGAGAGAAAACTAATAAAAACAAAAAAGAAAGAAAGAGAACAAGAGAAAGAGAAAGGGAGAGAGAGAAAAAGAAAGGGAAAAGGGAGAGAGGAAGAATAAGGGAGAGAAAGAAAGCAAGAGAAAGATGGAGAAAGGGGAGAAAGAGAAAGGGAGATAGAGAGAAAGCAATTAGGAGAGAGAAAAAGGGAAAGAAAAGGAACAGAGAAAGATGAAGGAGAGAGAGAGAAGAAGCAGAGAAAGGGAAAAAGAAAGGAGGAGAAAGAGAGAAGAAAAAAAAAGAGAATGGGGGAAAAGGGGAGAGAGAGAAAGAGAAAGTGAAAGAGAAAGGGAGATAGAAAGACAAGGGTAAGAGGGAAAGAGAAAGGGGAAAGAGAAAGAAAATAGAGAAAGTAAAAGAGAGAAAGAGAAGAGACAGAGAAAAGGGGAGAGAAGAAAGAGAGAAAGGGAGAGAAAGAGAATCAAAGGAGAAGGGGAAAGAGAGAAAGGGAAAGAGAAAGCAAAAGAAAAAGTACGACCCTTTCTGGGGTTGTGTGTCCACTTTAAGTGTTCAATGAGATGGCATTACTCACCCCAGATGACAAATTTTAGGCACTATCAAAATGTCCATTAATGGGCATCTGCAGCTGCAGCTCTGAAAGTTTCCTTGGTCTTCCTTATAAAAGCAGCTCTACAATAAAGGATAAGGGGCTTGTATCAAGGTGGAAAACATTGGTTTTCTAATTCTGGCAGAGGTGTTTGCCCAATGTGTGTGTTGACTCCTCTCAGTTTCCTGAGGAGTAGATGTGCTCATATGGACATGTGGACTGGTTGATGCCAGCCTCCTTATACTAGTCTGATTTGGGCATCGCACATCACATGTGCCTCAGACTTACTGCCAGGAATGCATGGAAACTGGTGTCATTTGGGGGCAAGACCTCAGTCCCAAATAGCATCCCCACTTCACTATCAGTGAAGCTTTACTTTGTGAATGTCTCTTCAGGAACACTCCTTTACAGAGTCCTGTTTTGCCACATGAATTAAACTGGCTCCCCTTCTTTCTTCATGTGCTTACTTGTGTATAAACCCAGAAACATTTTTAATGTGGTAGGCTGAGAATTTACTTCTGCAGTAGAAAAACTTTAGAAGTGCTTGTGCCCCCTCAGTTTCTTTTTCAAGCTGAAAGATGTAAGCAGTTGATGTTAAAAAAAAAGTTTGAATAATTGCAAAATTTCATGTCAAAACAGATTTGAACAAGTTGCAAAAGCCACAAGATGATGTATTCTTTAATCGGATAAGGAATTTCTTCTGGCCACCAGGGACCAATATTCTATTTACATTGAAAATGCATATATTTATTCATTAGAAGAAATGTTTCCTGTCTTCTGAGAGTTGTGAATGAATACTTGCTGTTGATGACACTATAATACTATATATATAGGATGCCAAGTGTTTAACCCTACACAATTCTTCTTGGGTGTTTTATACTTCAAAATTCAAACTAGTTTTATTTTCATGTTCATTGTGTTGTTACAGAGATAATTATAGCCACATATCTTTTCTCTAGGTTAGAATAAAAATTTCTCCTTCTAAATGATCTGGTTTGAAAACATTGGAAATGACGGTAAAATAATACATTTATATGTGGAACTAGAATTTATTTAATAATTTGGCTGTAAGACTAAAGCCTTACTACAAGTATCTTACTGTTATTTCCTCTCCATACTAAAGGAAACAACCTTGGAAATTAGGGAGATGTGTGTGTGTGTGTGTGTGTGTGTGTGTGTGTGTGTGTGTGTGTGTAGGTGTTTTATTTTAATTGGATATTTTTCATTTTCAAATATTCTGTAATTTAATAAAAATCTCATTTGAGTCAATTTTTAGTATTGTATATTATCCAAATTTTGCCAGATGACCAAGAACCATTTCTAGAACTATCCATAGTTTTCAGATTTTCTGGTTTCTGTTTTGTAACTTACAAGTAGGAGGAGAGGGTTGTTAGAACCTAAGGCACTTTGCTATGAAAGGAGAGACTACTGGCCCCTCTCATTCTCTACACAGATAACCTGATTCATCCTGTACACTTGATCCCATAGCTCACCACCTGGGAGGCACATGCTTAGATAGAGTCACTACTCCAATTTCATTGGTGCTTTATCATGACTAAAACATAGAACCACATCCATATTAGAAGGAGTACTATTTCTCCTAATGGCATCTCAGCTCATTGTTCCAAAAACCATGTTAATTTAGCCAAGTTTTGCAGTACTTAGGATACATCATAGGACTTTTCATGTGATAAGCAAGTGCTTTTTCATAAAGCTGCACCTCCAGGACTAAATGCATCAATTTTAATGGTGTAATCTGGCCACCAGATCCTTATAAAAGTTGGATTTTTTGAGCAGGAAATCACAGACAGTTCTCCCATCCAGTCTTTACTTGCTAAGTTAGATATCAGTTCAAATGGCTTATATGCTATCATTATTAACACTGTACATAAAAGCAGAATTATAATTGAGGAAGTATAACATGCTAATACAAATAGTTTATATTTAAGACAAATATCACCCCATATATTTGTCTGGTAGAATTATGTAGTGTTTCCACAGAATTTGAAGACCATTCTCTGAAGAGTCGAGGACACAGCTATGATAAGAACACTTTAAACATCAGAACACTTAGAACATTCTCCTTGGTGATATAAAGATTAAAGATAGTTACTAGAGCTAGTAACTCACAACTATTCCTGGGTAAAATTGTTGCCAGTACCAAGGGGAGAGCAATTCCAGCAATGTAATTCACATTGCATGTTGAAATGACTCACATTTCCTATAGTCTACAATATTAACTCATGGGTTAGGAGTTTTCATGTTTGTTTTTACAAGTATTCACTCCTTAAGCTTAAGTATTTACTCTTTACTAGTCTATTGAAGTTTTCAAAATAAAGATTAACATTTAAAAAAGGTTTGGCATAAAAATTCCAACAGTTTTGGAAATTAATCTGAATTGGACATACTTCATCAAAAGTACTGATGAGCTTTTTGCATCTTGCTATCTTAATATGAATTTGATACCCAATATAAAATGAGCTCTATAAAAATAGTCTTAAAGCCCCTTTGAAAATTCAGCATGTTAAACTTCTCCATGCAATTGCCTATTAACTTAAATTGCTTAAAATATAGCCCCCAAAAGAGAAAGGACAATTTTGTGCATATGCAATTGCTTTTATGAGTAAAGTTAGGGTTGGAACAAGGAGCTTGTAGTTCATCATGATGGATATTGCCCTCGTTGCTGCAGGCTGTAGAAGTGAGCCTCCTTCAAGATCTGGTTGATGTAGATATATGGACCTTGGCAGAATGCGTACTCCTCATGGAAGGATGGAGGGAGATTTGAGTTGAGATCAACAGTGATCTTGTTTAAGCTGCTTTCTGGTGCCCTGGATGCCTCTGGACTATTAACAGTGCTGCTGTTCCTTTCATTATCAGTGTAGGAACACTGGAAGGAGAAAGACGGAAGGAGCGTGTAGCTATTAGGATCCTGTAAGAGTTTTCTACTCAGCATGGTCAGGAGCAGCATCAAACTTATATACAGGTTTAATAGTTTACAAAGTACACTCAGGGATGTTGGTCATTCTATCTTACAACCCTGTAAAATAAATTGGGATCATAACATCTGCTTTATAGAACTGGAAGCAGATCTTTGAGTTGTCCAATATCATATAGCTAGTCATTGTCACATAGGCCCTGGAATTCCAAATACCTATACAAATTCTCTGCCCTTGTTGGTACCATTTGCTTCCATAACCTGCATTAGAGAAGTAAGTTCTCACACTTTAGGAAAAGCATTAACTAATGTGATAGAATGTAATTGAAATCAGGACTATAAATGTAGGATGGAAGCTGGGCACTGGTGACTCACACTTGCAATCCTAGCTACCCAGGAGGCTGAGATCTGAGGACTGAAGTTCAAAGGCAGCTTAGGCAAGAAAGTCTGTGAAACACTTATCCTCAATTAACCACCAAAAAGCCAGAAGTTGAGCTGTGGCTCAAGTGCCAGCCTTGAACAATAAAAGCTAGGGTATAGAAGCTAGGGTATAGTGCCCATTCCCTGAGTTCAATCCCCAGTACTGACACATGAGTGTGTGTGCACACATGCACACACACACACACACACACACACAAATCAAAGAGACAGCAGCCTCACCAAGAAACAAGTTTCACTGGTGACTCACACTTGTAATACTCAGGAGCCTGAGAATTGAGGATTTGGGTTCGAAGCCATTCTGGACAGGAAAGCCCCCAAGATTCTTATCTTCAATTGACTACCAAACAAATCTGGAAGTAGAGCTGTGGCTCAAAGTGATAGCGCACTAGCTTTGTGCAAAAAAGCTCAAGGATAGTGTCCAGGCTCTGAGTTCAAGGCCCAGTACTAGAACACATCCAAAAATTATGATGGTGTATGAGTATAATTTTAAAGGTGATGAATACATTACTAGACACGTATATCTACCTTTGAGTAGATTTATGCATTTTGCATTTATACAAATTTATAATATTTTGTATCAATATTCTGAATGTGGGCATATAGGGTCCTCACATATCAATTTAAACTCAACATGGAAACCTAATAGTGTTAAGCATATGTTTTAGAAAAGTTAGGTAACTGTTCATATTTTTTTAATTTGAAATGATTATACATTCACTAAAAGTTGCAAAAGTAATATAGAGAGATCCCGTAGACTTTGTCCTCATCTCCCACAAACATTATTTCCTCATGTGGTACAGTACCCACACCAGGCAGTCTATCTTGGTGGAATGTGTGTTTAACAACTTACATTTGAGAGGCCTACTATTTATTGTCTGTTATTTGTAGATGTGGTATAATGTGTGGGGGTCTGTGTCTATGTGTTGTGTGTGTGTTTTAGATTGTTTTTCATTAAAGTAACATCATACACAGTTTTTTTTATCATATTGGAGAAGCTGCACATGATCTCCCAGAAGAGTCAGATTCAAGTATTTCTTGCTTTCCTACATTCGATTCCCAAAGAAGAATATTGTAACAAGGACCCTTAACTGAAATAAAGCATGCGTCAGTGTTGGTATTGCATTTGTTTTAACTTGATCTTTTCCAAATGTAATATTAATATGACTTATGCCAAGAAGCATTATGATCTACTGGTGTTTTAAGGCTACTCGATTTACTAGTATCTGTAGACAGTGTTCATACAACTAAAACCATCTGTTTTTAAAAAGTTCATAAAAGGGGCTGGGAAGGTGGCTCAGTAGTAGAGCGCTTGCTTTGCATGCTTGAGGCCCTGGGTTCAATTCCTCAGCACCACATAAGCAAAAAGAAAAAAGCCGGAAGTGGCGCTGTGGCTCAAGTAGTAGAGGGCTAGCCTTGAGCTGAAGAGCTGAGGGACAGCACCCAGGCCCAGAGTTCAAACCCCACCACCGGACCCCCCAAAAAAAAGTTCATAAAAGACTTTGGAGGGTGCAAGTGAAATTTAATGTGAGAATTATCAGTAATAGCTATACAGTGGATTTAAGAGCAACATGTCAAAATCGAGTTCAAATTAGAATAAAAAAAAATCTATTCCCAGGCTGGGATACAAAAGTCTAGAACTTCCATTGTCAAAATAAGGCCTAATTTTAAAATTAAGCAAGATGATACATAGAAACAGAAGGAAAAGCAAAAACATGAATAAGTAATCCTTAGCAGCAGAAAACAAGTAGACATTTCTGTCATCATGACTCAATAACTGAGATGGCAACAATTAAATACTACAGTGCTGGCCATGCTTTGGGTGCTCTGGGAACAAGATTTCTATTATTTTTAACAGTGTCATTAGCATACCTTAGTTGTACAATGGAAGTTTCATTCCAACATTTGGAAATTCTGCCTCTACCAATATATGCAAAAGGCAATGAAATTGATCCTAAATTATGAAGGATCTAAAAGATTTCTCAAAAGAACTTTTCTCAAATGATCCAGCTGTCATCTAAACTTATACTACTTAAACTCAGGAATTGACAAAGAAACACTTCCTACCATTCAAAAAAAGATTGATAGAACTTGACTCTTAAATGTGTGACCCTGGTTATAGTTTTCTCTTATTTCTTTTATTACTTTTTCTCCCTTGGAACTCTATCTTTAGGTAGATTAATTTCTTTTCTTAGGAGAGCAAAAGCCTGAGATCTGTTCTAGTAAACCACTCACTCTCAATTTCTGGTTCTCAGTAATTATAAAAAACAATGTGAATTGTATGCTTTTGGCTAAGCATGCAGTCATGTGCACAAACATTCAGGCCTTTGTGTTAGTGCTACTATAAGTTGTATGTCTTTGTTCCACAGGACAGGTTTGCATAGAAGTGGCGGTATATGTGGTAAAGTTGTTAGCATTGACAATAAAGGGCAATGTTCATGAATAGGTAGCTATTTGTGAACAAAATAGGCCACAAGAAAACAAATTACATCATTTAAATCCAACTACAATGAACCCATCCAAGTATCAATCCAGAATCTATAGATCTCACTGTCTGTGTCCAGGTCCAAGGGGAGGACATGGAGCAACAGTCCTGGTGCTCATAAGAAGTGAAAGTGATCAGTGCTTAGTCATATACTCTCAGCTTTCATCTAGAAAAACTTTACAGAGCTCCTTTAATAGTCTCCTAGTAATTTATAGCTCAGTAAAACAGGCAAATGAAAATACTTTTGTGATGTTTTCTAGAAATAATTCTCTTTTCATTGTGGGGATGGAACTGAATGACAATGCATGCATTGAACGAAATGGAGAAAGGCTGTTGAGACCATCTCCCCTACCTCTTCATCCTGAGTATCTGGAAAGTCAGGGCTTTGCTTACTCCTTTTCAAATAGAGGGCATAGTGGTTGTCTTCTGTATTGCTATTTCTTTTCCTTTTCCTGAAAATAAATTGCAAAGGGAAAATTATATCACCCACCAACTGATCTTCTGGACACTTAAGTTGTAGGCTTATGCCAGATTATGTCCAAGACAATGAAAGTCACTGTCTGCTGCTCCAACGATTGTAAGGTTGGAATCATTTATCACCAGACACTGAGAGGGAACATATACAAATTGTAGTACTGTCAAATTGTAAAAATTCTCCCAAATCAGCTTGATAATTTTAACTGAAGCTTGATTAAAAAAACAAAAACAAAGAATTTTAAGGTCAAGTTTTCAAACTCTACCTAATTTGGTCCAGTGTCTCCATTCCTTGTAATTACAATTCTAGGTTATATGATAACCTAGAATTATATGATGGTATAGACACCAAAAGGATGTTTCCTGTGTCTGGTTAAGCCAGTGCTGTTACCATGCCAACGAGCATTATGTCATAGTAGTTGCCTTACTTGCTTATCACTAGGAAGTTTTGGTTATTTCCTTGAAATACTGTTCTATCAAAATGTTTTTGATCGATGTTGACCATAGTGACTCATGCCTATAACCACAAATTCTTGTGAGGTAGAGACAGGTTTACAGGTGTTTTTTTTTTTTTGGGGGGGGGGGGGGGTCTGGTCGTGGGACCTGAACTCTGGGCCTGGGTGCTGTCCCTCAGCTCTTCAGCTCAAGGCTAGTGCTCTACCACTTGAGCCACAGCACCACTTCCGGCTTTTTTCTTTTTGCTTATGTGGTGCTGAGGAATCGAACCCAGGGCCTCAGGCATGCAAGTCAAGTGCTCTACCACTGAGCCACCAGGTTTACAGTTTGAGGTTAGCCATGGTAAAATGTTAGAAAAACCCTATGTTAAAACAAAACAAACAAACAAAACAGAAAACTCAACAATCTGGAGCATGTGCTTGTGGCTCATGGCTGTAATCACAGCAAATCAGGAGGAGATCTGAGGATCTTGGTTTGAAGCCAACCCAGACAGTAAAATCGGTGAGACTTTTATCTCCAATTAACCACCAAAAAGCCAGAAGTGGAACTGTGGTTCAAGTGGTAGAACACCAGTCTTGAGCACAAAAGCTCAGGGATATTGTCCAGGCCCTGAGTTTAAGCCCCAAGAATGGCACAAAAAAAAATCAACCTGGGCAATGTGTCTCAGGCTGGTAAGACAATTCAAGTGAAAGAAGTAGAACGCTCATGTCCAAGGCTGGCAGGAGTAAAGATCAAGACCTCATGTGAAAAGAAAATTACAAGGCTTATAAGTCAGGACCAATAGCTCAGGCCTATAATCCTAGTTACTCAGCAAGCTGAGATCTGAGGATCATGCAATGCCACCAGACAGGAAAATCCCTGAGACTCTTACCAGCAAATCCATGGATGTGGAGCTGTGGCTGGTGGCAGAGCACCAGCCATAAGCGAAAAAGCTAAGAGACAGTGACCAAGATTTTCGTTCAAACTTCAGAATGTGCACCAAAAATATTATTTTTTTGAATAGCAAAGAGCTGGGGATGTGGATCAAGTGTTACAGCACTAGCTTTAACAGACTCAATGTGTTTTAATCCCAGGGTGCCAGAAATTTATTGATTTGTAAACTAATTTAAAATTCATTAATTTAAAATTGGATCCTCCATAGTATAGAAGACATTTTCAAATTGTATTAATCCTTTATAAGGTTACAAGGCATCATGTGATCTACAGCTAGTTATACACATTCTCCTCAGCTACTTAGTTAGAGATAATTTCTAACTGTTTAGTATTCTTCAGGATGACCAGATTTACTCAATTTTACTATTTCTGTACTCTTCAAGCTGTCATCTTTGGTAGATATCCCAGGGATGTTAAACTGTCATGCTGGTTTTTTTTCTTTCTTTCTGCCAAAAAATTAATTTGTTACAGGCAAAAGAGGAATTATTTTACTCAGAATGCTCAAAGAAAACTACAGAGAGCAGAAAAAGGAAGGAAGGAAGGAAGGAAGGAAGGAAGGAAGGAAGGAAGGAAGGAAGGAAGGAAGGAAGGAAGGAAGGAAGGAAGGGGAAAAAAGAAAGAAAAAAGAAGGAAGGAAGGAAGGAAGGAAGGAGATAGGAAAAAGGAGAATGGAGGGAAAACAGAGAGAGGTAAGTAGGTGAAGAAGGTAGAGGGAAAGTTGGTGTATTCACTCCAGTGTTATGAAACTATCATGAATATATACTTATATATACATATGTTAGGATATAATTTTTTACAAGCAAATTGTTCTATTACACATTTTCACTGATCATTCACTAAATGCTAGCAACTCCTGTAAGTGCCCATTAGAAAAAAAGTGAAACAAACAGTTCCTGACCTCACAAATTAAGCCTTGGGAACGTTTGTCTTTATATAATAATACTTTGAATATTAAACTGCTTTGAACTCATTTCACTGAAACTCTCAACATTTCGTAGCATGATTTGCATTTGAAACAATATAAGTAATAATTATGTTTCAAGTTCAAATTACCATATATTATTTGTACAAAGTAATGAGCTTCCTGATATTTCCATATATATACATAATGTGCTTTGATTTTGTTCACCCCCTCTATTACCCTTTTTTCTCCTCCCTTGCTTTCATGTCTCTAACACGCTCCTTTCAATGTAAATAATTTTTAAAAATGTGAAACAGTTTCAAAAACAGGATGATAAAAATATGATTAAATATCAATCTCAGTTGGTTTTATGCTCATCTGTAAGAATGAAAAACCTCTGAGACAACATAGTGGAAATTACCTTTCACAGTTATGGCTTTGTCTACACAATCAGGACTGAGATTAAGATCGGCTTTCTCTCTATTTCACATTGTCACTCTATCAAATTTTCCACAATGAGACTGAGTGAGTGCAGTAAGGATAACTAAAAACTGGTAAAGGAATATAAATCTGAGGAAAAGGTGGAGTTAACGACAAGACCACTCAGAGAGGCAGAAATAAAAACTGATCAGGGACCTAGGCAGAACAACAGAAATGTAAATGTGGTTTTGTTCTCACATGTTGAGTTTTCCTAGGGAGCTCAGCTTGGGGTGGGGGGTATCAGTACCACCTGCAGGATATGTTAGGTGCAAACATCAGAAGAAGCAGCTTTTATTTTTTACTGAAAATGCTAATAAGGAGCATTTATTCAAGTTAAGACTGGAAGTGGGTTCATTTCCAACATAGTGTTTTGTAAAAATCATTGTTGCAATGGGTCATCCTGTGTCCTTGTTTCAACATTTTGTTATTCCCCTTCCCCTCCCCAAATTAGATAAATGTATATACAAGATGCAGGGTACTAAGTTCAAGTAAAGTGACAACAGAGGTTATACCATAGGGAGAAGAACATACAAAAGAAACAAAAAAATCACATACTACATTAAAAACAACAACAACAAAGAAAAACCTCTTGTGTTCATATCTTGGGGTTCACTTCACTTAGCATCATCTTATATGGTCATATGCACATAGCTTTTGAGCTTTTCTGCTCATCTGATTAGATTATCCTAGGCATATACTAATTATTGCAGATAAGGGAAACCATGGGACCTATATTTCCTTGGGTCTGGTTACTTCACTCAATATAATTTTTTCCAAGTCTTTCCATTTCCTAACGAATGAGGCAGTATCATTCTTTCTAATGGAAGCATGAACTTTACTACTTCGTGGGGAGGGGGGAAGGGAGGAAGAGTGAGAGAGGTGGGGAGGGAAGGAATAGTAGGAGAAAATCAAAGGAGGGGTGACAATGTTCAACAAGAAATGTACTCAGTACCTTACTCATGCAACTGTAAACCCTCTGTACAGTATCTTTACAATAAAATAAAATTTAAAATAATCTAAAAAACCCAAAAACTGGAGGTGAGGGAGAGGAGACCAGGGCCGCTGCACAGAGCAGTACTGCCCAATACAGACCTAAAAGAGCAAGATTCACCAGCCCCAGATGAAAATTCATGTTTCCTACTGCCTTTCTCTCTAGAAAATGATCATGCTGGAGAATCCAGGCTGGCTGAAAGTAAAGCCCAGAGAACAGAATGATACAGATTAAAGTACACCCTGCATTTGGTCTCCAGCATGGAACCTCTACATGTTATCTTCAGGTGTTGTGTCCACCACTTTTTAGCCGTATCTACATAACAGTTCTCATTTCTTTCCCTGACCACCATCAAGGAATTCTGAACCAGCAAGGGACAACTTGATGTTGCAAATTGGACTGTGGAAGGGACATCCATTGGCACAGGAGGGATGAAGTATGACACCAAGATTCAGAAGGGTCTGCATGTGCCTGTCCAGTGAACTGAGACTAACTCAGATAGAGAACACCAAGCTCCCATAAGACCCTACCAAAACAAAGGCATAAAATGCAATCATCAACAGCCAGAGATATGGGTGCACAGGTCAGCATCATCAGCAGGACTCAGGAGAGAAAAAGCAAAGATGGTAAGGTGAGACTGTCACAGACCCCTACCTGCATCATCATCGATACTCTAAAGCCATACAAACCACCTATCATCTTGGAAAGCAGAGTGAGGACAGATGGGATCTAAAGGGTTTCTGGCCAAATATTTTTCTCATTTCTTCTGCTGTGAATGAGATGGATGTCTTTCCACCCGTGTTTCCCTGACAGAACCAAAATGCCTGAACATCAGAAAAATCTTAATAAAAATGCAAGCATCCCTCTGTTAAGAGTGTTAACTAAAAAGGTTTAGTGTTAACTAAAAAGGCACTGGTGGCCCCTGACAAAAAATGGTTACCAAGAATGCGTTACTACATGTACTAATGGACAAATAAAGAAAAAGAGATTTCCACAATTAAAATTTATCACCCTGCACTATAATCAACTCCAAATGGATCAAAGAATCAAAGTAAAAGCACCCAAAAAACATTACAGGAAGGAATAGGAGAAATTCTAGGGCTCCTTGGCACAAGCCAAAATTTTCTTAATAAAGACCCAGGAAATTTTTTGCTTGGTTTGGTAAGATTGTGCTAGACGTATACTAGTTATTGCAAATAAAGGAAACCATGGAAGCTATGTACATATGACCATATAAGATGATGCTAAGCTAAATGAACCCAAAGATTTTCTAATTGGAGAAAGGGAACGGAAATAACAAAATGCTGAAACAAGGATACAGGTTGCCCCATTGTAACAATGAGATGTACAAGACACTGTGTTGAAAATGGACTTTACAACTTGGAGGGGGGCAAGGGAGGAGATGGGGAGCTGGGGAGAGAGGGGATGGTAGGGAAAAAACAAAGGGGGGGTAACAATGTTCAATAAGAAATGTACTCATTACCTTACTCATGTAACTGTAACCCCTCTGTACAGTATCTTTATATATATATATATGTATATATAAAGATATATATATCTTTATATATATATATATATATACACACACACCCAGGAACACAACAAATCAAAGAAAGGTTGTACAAATGGGATTGCATGAAACTGCAGAGCTCTTGCATGACAAAAGTCATAGCTAACAAGATCAATAGAAAGCACATAGATTGGGAGAAGATCTTCACTAGCCATAAAACAGACAAAGGCCTCA